ACCGTTATCACCCAGAGTTATCACCCTCAGACCCCAAAATCACACACTAGTAATTATACAGTGAGTTCAACGTGACTAACGCTTTGTGTTAATTACGTGTACAAGTTAACTGATTTTCAACTACCGGTACATTCTCCCACGGGTAACAGTGTTTCTATGGATATTCAACTCAATTGGAATACGAAAAACTTGTGAAAGGGCTTGTTTTGAGGAGATTTTGACTTTTCCCAGGGGTAGTGGAATAACACATTTTTATTCACTGCCTTGTTCAGGAATCAAATCAAATCATTTATTTTGCCCAATGGGTGGGGAAATTCTTGCTCTCCTGTCAGTTCCTTCAGACTGACATATACACCAGGCTGGGTAGCACGTACTGAGTAAAACTCCTATTATAAATGGAGTTGGCCTGTATGCAATTTTGGTTTTTTGAGGAATATTGTTTCATGAAGAAATGTCCAGCTCCCTAATATTATGGGCACTATTTGAAGTACTGTAACTGAATGCTTTATATGGTCTATATTGACTACCTTTTTTTACCAGCAGCTCAGTTGAAGGCTTGATTGCCTTTGGTAGTGATTTGAAACTGGTATCTTTGGTGGTTATAAAAAAGATGTTTTCCACTTGGTTGTGATTTTTTCCACTTGGTTGTGATTTTTTCCATGTCTCATGTAATGGTAGGTTTGGACATTGATCTGGCTTACCTAGTTATTCTATACAGCTTATATCACTTGTTTTATGCTTTCCTGGAGGAGATAGGATAATTCAATTTTGGTAACAGTTGCATGAGGCCGAAATTGTCCAACCTATGGTAAAGAACCCATGTTCCAGAAACACTGGTGGTCAACCCTTTATGTTTTTCTTCTGAGGATCTAACTAATGATTTAAAAACTTTTTTTTTCTAAATGATTATTTATTAATGTCATCAGGTTTACAGCATGGAGTGATACGCCCAGCCGAGCCTTATGGGCTACCACTGGACTTAAAAACGCTACCAGAAATGCTCCAGAAAGCTGGTAAATCCTTAACAGTTCTTATTTTAGCTAATAACAAGTGATATTAAAATGATTATTGGTGGTTAAAAATGCTCTGATTTACAGGAAGTCATGAAGATGTTCTTTTGGTACTTCTTGCATCAACCCTCCACTCCCACAATCTCAACAGGAATTCTCCTGGATTGGCCTATCCAAAGTGCTAATGCAAATGCTTCAATAATGGGCATTTAGAACCAAATAAATTGCATGACACATTGGCTCTCAATGCAAAAATCTTCTGAACCATTTTGTTTTTTGTGGTTATAATTACAGTTTATAAAGTAAGGTAAAAGGTAGGTAAAGTCTGTTTATGAGCCTAGTGGCCCATTAGGCCGGTGCTTAACTCCAGTTTCTGTAGCATGAAGCGACTAGGAGTATTTCTGGAGTCGAGCGCACTAACCATGAGGCCACTGTGCCTCCACATAGTTTATAAAGTAGCCATTATAAAATTATATTAAAATGTAAATGTGATTTTTCAGCAGGCTATGAAACTCATATTGTTGGAAAGTGGCATCTTGGTTTTTATGAATGGCCTTATACACCAACATACCGTGGATTCCATTCATTTTATGGCTTTTATACAGGGTCTGAGGACCATTTTAATCATGAAAAATATGGTTTACTTGATCTGCATGACAACAAGGAGCCAGTAAGAGATAAAGGGGGATTTTATTCAGCAAGGCTTTTTGCTCAGGTAATAAAGAGTGAATATAATGGTCATTTCAAAAACACACTCCAGTCTTACAAACTTTAAATTCACATTGTGGTGTATTTGTAGAGACTGGGCGGTATTCGCTCCAGTCTCCCCCAACGTTTGTTGTTCTGGTTGTGAAGCGATGCCATGTGCTCGTGAATCGAAATAGAATTAAAGCTTTTCCTTCATTGAATACGACTCACACATGTTGTTACTTTTGTACTCTTGTTCTTTTTTTTTTATCCCCCAAGCCCCTCTGAAAAAGTCTTGCATTCATGCAGTGATGCATGAATCTGAGGCTACTGATACTCAAGATCCCCCATGGAAGGTGCAAGATTATGCAAGGTGCACAGAAATTCATAACCATTATCCCTCCTCCTTCTAAAATCTTTTCTTCTCACTGTCTACCACACACTTTGTACAATTTTATCACAAAGAATTTGGTGGGAATTCAAACAAATGTTCCCTAGTTGATACACTTTTCTCATCACCTTTCTGCTTAACCATGTTTTGATATTGTAAGGAGAAATAACTTATTGATCACCTCTGGGAGTGGAAGAGGTTAATTTGATGAAAGGTAATTATTGTTTGACTCCCCTCAGCAAGCACAGAAGGTTGTCCTATCCCATAATGCATCAGCACCACTGTTTTTATACCTGCCCTTTCAAAATGTACATGGACCAACCCAAGCTCCGCAGGAGTATGTGAACAAGTACCAATTCATTGATCAGAAGACGAGACGAGAGTATGCTGCAATGGTTGATATAGTTGATGAAGCTATTGGGAATGTAACACAAGCTTTGGAGCAATCAGGGTGAGTGCATAGTAGGCAGAAATTTGCATTAAAATGTGTCTGAGTTCCAGTTAAAGTGTCCTTGTTATACACTAACAGACTCTTTGAACACTTGCAAGCTATAATTTGAAGAAAAGAGCAACTGAAATGCTGTGCCACCTAAACCAAAGAAAACTAATGGATAAATGCAAGGCATGATATTAGACTGGTATACCACATTTAGTATAAGCAATCATCTCTTGCCAGCTTGCTTCTAGGTTTGATTGGCAGGCCTTTTTTAATACATGAAACTGTGACTTACTTATCAGAATAGTCTAAACTAGCGCAGCCTTTAACAGTTTAAAGAGGAAAATTTGCAAAATTACTGCTCAACTCCATGTTTCCAGAATATGGGATTGAGAAAAAAAACTACTCTCCTTGTAAGTATCTTAATATAGACCTTTTAAATTAATTGTTTGTTTTTTTAGATGAAGTCTCAAGAAATCCACATTGTTGGCTGAAACTAAAATGATTTTTCTTTAAAAAGTCTTGCAGTAGGCCGTTGTGTCTACTGATTTCATGGTTGTGTACTTAGTTGCCAAGCCTTTGATTTGGAGTGAGGGTGAAGGTGACCTTGTTGTGAGAGAGACCTGTATTTAGTTAGCATGATAAAAAAGTGATTTACATTTGAAAGGCAGCAAAGTTTGTATCATAACAAGGTCACCCCTAGTCTCACTCCCATTCAAAGGCTTGGCAACTAAGCACACAACTATAAAATGGACTATTACCATTTGCCATCCTGAATTGCAATAATTCCCATCACAGTTAACTGATATTCGCAATTTGAGCTTTATACATGTGACCAATTTGTCTTGTAGTTTGTGGAATGACACATTACTGATTGTCACCACTGATAATGGTGGTATTCCTTCTGCTGGTGGATATAACTGGCCCCTCCGTGGTCACAAAGGAACCCTATGGGAGGGAGGGCTCAGAGGGGTGGGGTTTGTTCACGGAAAAATGTTGAAAAAGACTGGAGTCAAGTGTACTGAACTTCTCCATGTAACAGACTGGTATCCAACTCTCCTTTATTTGGCAGGTAACTATTGGCAACCTTACTGTTTTTATCTCAGATGGCACAACTCAGGGAAGTGTTACAATGTTTTTGTTACAAGAAATAATTTACTTGCCTTCTGCTCGGGTCCACACTGATTGTGGTGTTTCTTGTACTGTGCAAATTTCCGAGAAATCATTGATTTTGGTTATACAGTGGTTAGCTCAATTGAAAGAGCATTGCCTGCTGTGTGATATTTTAAGAATGAGACCAGTGTTGCATGGTTAGCAAGGGAGGTTTAAAAACCTCATGCTATTTTCAGTTGGGCATCAGGTTCCCAGGTTAATGGAATTTATCTATGTTCTCCTCAAATTTAAGAGGTTGGCTTACTGAGGAGAACAAATTAATAACAGGGTAACAGCCATGAGTCAGCTTTTCTATTCGTTACGGTGGCCAATTTACAATTTCAACTAAGTTGATATAACCAAATTACTAAATTAATTTGGTTTAAATTTCAAGGATTAAAAGGGGGAGATTCCAGTGTACCCCCACTGGATGGTTTCAATATATGGCAGACAATATCAGAAGGGGCCCCTTCACCTAGAACTGAGATTCTGCACAACATTGACTTGGCACCAAGCAAAAACAACTTGAGGGATGTTGATGGTGGCTATGATGGGATTGCAATTCGTGTGAATGACATGAAGCTGTTAATGAACGTGCCTAATCTTACGTGGTATAAGCCTCCAGAATTATTTCCTGGATATCAGCAGATCTTTGAGGTTCTCTGTTTTTATATTTTCCAAATAATTCTACTCTTTCTATCAACTTTCTTCTTCTTGTAGCATACATGATGTTATAAACACATCTAGTCAGTATGTACAAAAGCAGCCATATCTTTAACCCTTTAACTCCCGTGAGTGACCAAGAGAGTATTTCTCCTTACAATATCAATACAATACCAAGCAGACAAGTAAAGAGAATAAGGGAAAAAAATCAGGCAATTATGAGTTGATCCAGAACCAAATTCTCCAAACTGACATCATTAGAAATGTATGTCAGACAGTAAGGAGAATTACTAATGAGATCTTGAGAGTGAAAGAATTAAGCAGTATGGGGCATTATGCATTTGAGACCCACTTAAACACAGGCTGAAGCAAATCCCAGTTTTCTTAGCATTAAGTGATTAGCAGCATAAGCACACATAAAAGAAAATTTTAGAAACAAATTGTAGAGGAGTAGTGCAGGAGATAACTTTTAATTAGTGACAGAAATTCTTTAGGGCGTTAGAAGGCAAGTTAGACACTTTGATGATACTCAGCGGAAGGTTGATTGAAGTAATGTAAGCACCAAGTTTAAAGTGTAAATAGCTTTTTTTTTTGGAACATGACAACAATTCATCAATTTATTTAAAAACAAAAATACTGACATCAAGGTAGGACATATTCCTACTTTTCTTTGCTCCACTTACAGCCACAAACAAGTATGCTGCACAGTGACTGTTTCCTTTTTATTAACAGGATTGGAGCAAACTCCCCACAATAGAGGTTGCGTTGTACAACATTACTGCTGACCCAACTGAGCATGTTGATCTCAGCAAGAAACTTCCAGATGAGGTTGAGAAACTGAAGGAAAGAGTTCAGTATTACATGAAAGGGGTTGTCCCTTCTCTGAAGAAACCAGCAGATGAAATGGCGACAAAAGTAGCCAAAGAGAAAGGCTACTGGGGCCCTTGGAGAACCTAAATAATCTTTTTAAGTTTGGAGTTTAGTTCATTTTACTCAAGAGCTTGTTGGTAAATAAATGCATTACAATACAGAGTGTGAGTTCCTGGTTCCTCAGCTTAAAAAAAATCACTTGTTGACCCTCTAAGAGTGACTACCATCAAATTTCTCGTCACAACATCACCTCTCAATCAAACATTAAGGTCATGAGAATAACGGAAATGATCAACAACTAAAAAAAGCTCCTGATTGTAAATTAAACTCTCCTTGTCAGCACCCTAGGAAATGTGTAGAGGACAGTATGAAGATTACGAATACCGATGTCAAGGTATAAAGAGTTAATTGAGGGATTGAAGTGCTTTTCTACCACATGAAGTACTAATTACATTTAATTACATATTGTCCAGATGAAAGGGGATCTTTCCCTGAGTACCCTGACTCCAATTGATATCCATTCGCGTTGGCTTATCCACAGTTCTTGAGCAGAGTCCAAGATACTTAGCACTGCACCACCCTTCCAACAAATTGTCCGAGGATCCATTTCCTGTCACCAAACAAATAGCAAAAAGGGTAAAAATAGAATTGTAACAAGGGACCAGCTCACACAAATTCAGGATCTGTAAAAATTTTCTGAGTAAATTCACGACATTTTCTGATTTTTTACTCAAATAAAAACCTCCCAAAAAGCTAGATAGAGTATGGATGGCTCAGTAAGGTAAGATCAAACCAGATTGTCTATGGAGTAAAAATTAATGAAATGATCCCAACTTTTTGTCATTAACAGAAAAAGACGAGAGTTTGAAAATGATAAATTAAAATCCAGAATACTCTCACAAACTTGTATCATGCCTTAAAAACATCTGACGGTAAAAGGTACAACCTTATTGCATTTTTCAACTGTACAATAATTACCAAAAAATTTTTATACCTTAGGTCTTGCAATCACCTCAACCTGATCAACAAGTTTGCGGTGAGACTGTGGTAACTTGGCTTGTAAACGTGACTGTAAGGCAGCTGCAGCACCATTAAACATGAAACCACCCCCAATCAGCAAAACTGAGCTGTACATTTTACGCTTTGTTTCTTCAGGAGCTGTAGTATTTAGAAAACATAACAGCCGTGTTAGGGTGTCGTCTTAAAAGAAAAAGAAGTGTTGTGGTACCTTCTAAAGAGTAACTAACGAAGAGTAGCTCGGAGCAGGCAGGCCCTCACTAGCTTTGCAGAAGTCTTGTGATTCCTTCTAAAGAATGATGAACCCTTTATACCCAAGCATCAGTATGTACCGGTATAAAATTATTCTCCATATACTGTTCTCCATACATTTACTGAGGTGCTGACATGGAGAATTTGTTTAACAATCAAGAGTTTTTTCGGTTTGTGATCATTTACTTAATTCTCATGACCTTGATGTTTGATTCAGGGGTGATGTTGTAGGGAGAAATTACATACTCTTCATTCTTTGGGGTAAAAGTGTTAATGGAGAGTAGCTTAGGAACAGGCTCTCACTGGCCCTGAAGCCCCAGAGGTGAAGCCAGTTGTCCCTTTGCAGACTTTGCACAGGCTTTGCCTTTCATGGCACAGCCCCCATCGGAACTTCCCACAAAATTAGGGGAGACCTTCAAATAAATTCCAACACTAAAAGCCTAAAGCCACTTGACAGCCTTGTTGTTGAAAAGGTGGCATGTACACAGAACTTATGGTTTCCCATTATTAAGAGTGAAGCCTTGCTTTTAATGACAAACTTTGACAATGCTTTACTCACGACAAGAATTAATGCTGTGTAATATTGCTTGATCTAGACCCAAACTCTTCTCAGAGACAAACTTCATCTCCTTGTTACCAGTCCTCATAGTGGTTGTCATATTCTGCTCGGCATCTGGGACTGTCTCAGTACTGGGTCCAATCTTTGAACCAGATGACTGCTTACTGGACTGATCCTGCCCTCTCTGAGACTGTGGATTGAAAACCACAACAGTGCAATCACTCATAGTCAAATATGATTACATTGGTTTGTGTTGTTTATGGCTGCATGTGATATCAAGATTGCTGGACATTTTTTATTTTCATTCTCCATGGTTTGGAACAATGTCAATATCTGAGCAACTACAGACCCACCCCTCCCCAACCCAACAAAAATAAACTGATAACAAGTTAGGGTTAATGTTAGGTCAGGGAGGGGTAGGTGTGCAGTTGCTCAGATACTACAACTGTGTACCTACTCATCCCCTAACCCAACATCAGTCTGCTGATAACAAGTTAGGGTTAATGTTAGGTCAGGAAGGGGTAGGTGTGCAGTTGCTCAGATACTACAACTGTGTACCTACTCATCCCCTAACCCAACATCAGTCTACTCATGACAAGTTAGGGTTATTGTTAGATTAGGGGAGGGGTAGGTGGGCAGTTGGTCAGGTTAATGCTGGCCTTGGGGAGGGGTCAGTGTGCATTAATGCTCAGATACTGAAATTGATCCCACGGTTTTATGACCCAAATGAAGTAAGGGTTCATAGAAATGCACATAATGATCTTGGCTTCACTGTGACTATGGATTAAGAATCACGGGAAGGAAATTGCATGCAACACAATCTACTTACAGTGCCTAAGTATGGCTCAACACAACAAGGAGATTGCTGGATATTTACCATTTCCTTTCTTTGTGGTTATCAAAAGGAATCAATTTGACTAACACAATGGATTACAAATTAAAGTAATAAAGTTTAATTAACAAAAGCCCATTATATTAGGTAAGTTTCCAATCAAGCCAGGAAAACTAAGCGGAGCTGAAGTTTGAATTCCCTACCTCAAGCAGGTATTTGTCATCACACAAGTCCTCTGGGTCGTCATACTGGGGATCTTTGGTGTAAACCAAGTTCTCACCAACAATACCAAACAACTGAGGGAAGAACATTCCCTATA